TGTCGCCAGGGACTCCGCCCGGGTCCTCATCTTTGCCCGGGGGCCGAGGGGCGGGGGCGGAGTTCGACGGGGGCCGTGCTGCTCGCGCCTCGAGCTGGAGACCGCCGCTGCGTCGCCCTGCAGCGCCGCGCCCATTCCGGGCGAGGGCGGGAGTCATGGCGCGTATCGGCTCTGGCGGGCGCGCCGCGGTCGCGTCGAACATGGGCGAGGCTGAGGGCGAGGTCGAGAATGAGAACGAGCCCGCGCGCGCGACCGACGACGCCCCCCATCCAGCAGAAGAAGAGGACGCGCAGGGCTGGGGTAAGGTCAAGCGCTGGCGCGCCAGCGCGGCGGTCCGCGCGGCTTCCGCCGGCGAGCCAGGCCAGCCTTCCCCTCCGGCAGCGCCGAGGCTGAGGGGCAGAGGCCGATGGCACTCCCAGCGAGGAGGTGGCCTGCAGTCGTGGACGGAGCGGCTCCCGCAACTTTTGATAGCGGTGAGCCTCGGGTCGATCGTGCCAAAAAGAGCGCGCGTCCCTCGTGGTCTTTCTCCATCAATCATCTTCTCCAACCTGCCAGGTCAAGGCGTCCTAACACCTCGGGCTCGCCCTTCGCGTGGCCCCGGAGTCATCGCTGGGCCTAAGTATCAGGGCAGGCTTTAAGACGCCGCGTCGGCGGCCCGAGGTCACCAACATACGCAGATGCGGCCTGGGCGAACTCTCGCCTTCCTCACTTGCACGTCTGAGCTCCTCAAATGTCGCTCCTAAAAGCACGAGTGGTCGAGCCGTCAAATGGGTGAGCTCACGTCCCGCCGCGCCGCGCGCCTCTGGATATCCCTGCTGAGTGTAGAATGTGTTGGGGGTTGGACAGTTCTTGTTCCCTTCTTCCTTTGTCCTTCTTGCCCGCTAGAGCTGTTCGATCGCCCGCGCCATTCCTCCGACTCAATTGGATGCTCTGCCGCCGCTCTGCTTCGGCGTATTGTACGGAGAAAACAAACACTTCAATCGGTATCTTAGTGCCGCCATGGTTTCTTTCGTACAGCTTCTAACCCCCGCAATTCTAGTCCCTCCACCGTCGCGCTCCCCTTCGTTCGTCTCCTCCAAAGTGGGGGCCGGACAGAAGAATACTGGGTATGGGGTTCGGGGGAAAACGCGTGTTGGCTGTCGCGTCGTGGGCTCCCGAGGTCGTCGTGGTCAAGGTCGCGGTTGTTGTAGTAAGTGCGCTTCTCTTGTCAGCCGCGTCGGGCCTCGGCGGCGGAGGAGGATGAGGAGGGGGCGAGGAAGGGTCTGATGATGAGCGGTGGGAGGGGGGGAATGGTGCGAACAAAGTTGAGAGGACTGACTGCTTCGCGCATTCCCACCAGCCCCGCCAGAAACGATGCTCATGCGACCCGTTGGCAGGAGGGAAGAGGCGAAAAAAGGAGTGAGGCAGCAGTGGAGGCCTGAGTCCCGGGGCTCTTCAGGGCCCTGTCGGGAACCTTGGAGGCCTTCCTTGGCCATTTTTGTGGCCCTTCATCTTGGGGGTCTTTGGGGCGCACTTTCGGACCATCTTGGAAGAGAATTTCCAAATAGAAGGCGGCACCAGTTACGCCGCCCCCGTCGGATAACACCTTTCGGAGCTTCCTTGGGGCGCTCCTGGGCTACTTTGGACGCTCTTGATTTGGGCCTTTCCGGAGCCTTCCTGGATCCCTCTTGGGGCCTCTTGCATGATCTTGGAACCATTTTTATGTTTCGAAAGCTCATCCGAAGCAAGAAGGCAAGAAGGATCATTGATCCCCCAGTGGTTTTTGAAGGATGTTCGTCTCTCGGGGGGGTCCTTGGGAGGCTCCGTGGCCACTTGGAGCCATCTTGGGGCGGTCTTGGAGTCTCTTGGAGGCATGCTGGATGCTATCTGGAGCCATCTTGAGCTATCTCGTGTAATTCTGGAGGCCATCTTGGGCCAGCCAGGGCCCTCTCAGAGCCATCTTGGGCCATCTCGGACCCTCTGACGCCCTGCTCTCCCCGTCCCCCCCCGTCCAGGCGCAGGCGTGTGGCGGGGCAGCGGGAGGCGGTCGAGCTACCCCCGGAAGGGCGGCCGTCTGGCTCCTTCCCACCACACAGGGCGCACTCGGGCCCGAGCAGTGGCCTGGGCCGCCACTGGCTGGACGACGAGCGGGAGCCAGAAGAGACGCCGGATGCCTGACGCTCGCGAGGTGCCCTGGCATCGTTCGGACGGGTGCAGCCTTTCTCTCGGCGAGTCACGTGGAGGAGCATCTGGGATCATCTACAGGGAAGGCACACGCACGCAGCCTAAAAGTGCATCCTTTCTCGGCGAGTCACATGGAGGAGCATCTTGGATCATCTTAGGGGGAAGCACACGCACGAAGCCTAAAAAGGCATGGGGGAGGAACGTCCGAGCGACGGCGAGGGAGCGTCGCGCGCGCCGGGTGCGCCTCTCCGCACCTGGCGTGCCAGGCGGCCCAGGGGCCCAGGCGTGCCGGCCCGCCCGGGGCGCCAGAGTGGCCTCCACACTCGCCAAGTGTCTTCCTCCTCCTCCTCCTCCCCCTCCTCCTCCTCCTCCTCCTCCCTCCTCCTCCTCCTCCTCCTCCTCCTCCTCCTCCTCCTCCTCCTCCTCCTCCTCCCTCCTCCTCCCCTCCTCCCCCCCCTCCTCCTCCTCCTCCTCCTCCTCCTCCTCCTCCTCCTCCTCCTCCTCCTCCTCCTCCTCCCTCTCCTCCTCCTCCTCCTCCTCCTCCTCCTCCTCCTCCTCCTCTCCCTCCTCCTGCCAGGTGCTCCACCCGCACTGGATGCGTCACGTGCGCGGCGCGCGCAGAGTGTGCCAGGTGCGCCAGTACACGTTGCAGCACGCACCGGGAAGCATGCCGGCCCCTTCACCGTCTTGGTCAAATGGTCAAAGAGCGCTGCGGAGTGGCGGCGGGGTGGTCGGCATGGCGTACCCCGCGAGCACCCGCAGAGGCTTTGCCTTGGCTTTTGATCGGGATTGTGGTCTGGCGCGCACCACACAACACGTGGGCACCTGCATCATCTCTGTCAAATAACAATGCAGGGTGATCACGGGGCCCCCTGCGCATGACCACAGATGTTGCCGCAAAGTGTGCTTTGTATTGTTTTTTTCTGTTGGGGATGGTGGGAGGGGGGTCGGCAGTGACCCTAGTTCGTCGCCTGTCGAGTGGGGGTGGGGGCAACATGGGTCTTTGTTAACCCCCTCCCAGGAGGGATAACGGGGTTTGAAGAAGAGGAAGCATAAGACGAAGAAGAAGCTCCCTAAACCTCCCGCGCCCAGATTGATGAAGAGATTCGGGAAGACGATGTGGAGGATGAGGGGAGGACTAGGAACCCCGAGTGGAGTAGATGCGGGCATCAAGATGTAGACGAGGATGTCGATGAGATCAGGATTAGGAAACAAGCGGACGCGGAAGATGCTTCTCGCGACTGCACCCTCTGGGCTTGGACTCGCTTCAGCCTGTCTCCGCGCTGTGCAGAGTCGGCCTCGCTCTGGATCTCGTCCTCCCTCTTCCTTCTTTGTTCCTCCTCCTCCTCCGTCTTTCTTCTTTTTTCCTCCTTTCTCTCTCCTGATTCGGATCTTGTACTTCCTCTTCCTTCTGGATCTTGTCCTCCTGATCCATCTTCTTCGGTCCTCCTCCTCTTCCTCCTTTGTTCCTCCTTCTGGATCTTGTCCTCCCTGATTCTTCTCTGTTACTCCTGTCCCCCTCCTTTGGATCCTCACCGACCCTACCCTCGTTTCCTATTTTCCTCTCCCCCCTCTTCTTCCGCTGCCTCCTCTGTTGTCTCCTTTTCCTCCTCCTCTTCCTCTTCCTCTGCCTCCCCCTCTTCCTCCTCTGTTGCCTCCTTTTGCGACCAGTCCTTGCAGGCGACGCGAGTCAGATCACGCGAGAGCCGGCAGGATCAGAGGTGGAACAACAGAATCCTCCCCCTGCTCGTCGTCGTGCTCTTCCTCCCCGTCCTCCTCTCTCCGCTCTCCTCTCCTTTTTTTCGGAGAGACAAAAAAGCAGAAGCATCAATTTTCGGAGGTCCGGGCGGATTTTTTTTGGCTGGTGCCGGACCCCCCTCCTTTGGCGCGCGGAGCGCGCCAGGGGCTGCGCTGGAGCCCCCGCCAAGGGGCTCCGTCGCCGACCCAGGACCGCCGCGCGGATTCCTCTCAGAATGCTTACACGCTTGTGCAGTGTTTGTTCCTCGATCCTCTTCCCCGCTCCTGCTCGTCGTCGCCGTCGACGTCCTCCTCTTGCTTCCTGGTTCCCGATGGCCGAAAAGAAGGTCGTTCGTAGCCTCCCCCCCCTCCCCAGGGCCGGTCGGCCCCTGGGGGGTTGATCAACCAAGTGCAGGTGACCTCGGGAGCACCCATCCTCATCCTCCTCTTCTTCCTCTTCCTCCTCCTCCCTCCTCCCTCCCCCCTCCTCCCTCCTCCTCCGCCTCCGCCTCCTTATGAGTCCTGATTCTTGACGGCGCGAGAAGTTCTTGATTGCCGTCCCCTTCCTCATCCTCCCGCTCCAAGCCCCGACTCGCCTTCCACGCTTTCGCCCCAGGAGCGACCAGCTGGCCTGTCGGCCAAGCTCGCCCCCTGCGTCCACGCCGTGTCCTGATTGGCGCCGGCGGGCTCCCTGGCGGAGCGCGAACGGCTCTGGCGCTCGTCTCGTTTGTCGCTTCGTTTCGTCCCAGACCTCCGTGTAGATTGGTCAACCGTTTTTTCCCTGCTCCACACGGGCCGCAGACACGAGAGCCGCCAATAAGATACTCCCGGGATTATTGGAACGCAGCCTGCGCCAATCACGACATGGTTCTTGTCCTATTCCTCTCCTCCGCCTTTGCGTATTGCCGCGAGGATCGAGGGGCGAGGGGCGAGAATCGAGGGGCGAGAATCGAGGGGCGAGGGTCGAGGGGCGAGGGGCGAGAATCGAGGGGGGAGAATCACGACATGATTCTTGTCCTCTTCCCCTCCCTTCTTGCCCTATTCTTGTCGCGCCTTTGCCCCTCCTCTTCGTTTGCCCACCCTTCTCCCGCCGTGCCGAGGGAGCGGCTCCTTCTGCACCCCGGGGTGCCCGACCGGAGCGGGTTCGCCTGGAGCAAGCTGCCTTTGCTGACGGCTGACTTCCAGGTCGAAGGGGGGGCTCGCGCGGGCAGCTGGGGAGGACTGGAGGGGGGAGGAGAATGAGGGAAGGGGGGAAGATCAGGATAATGGGTATGATGATGATGATGATGATGATGATGATGATGATGATGATGCTGCTGCTGCTGCTGCTGCTGCTGCTTATGATGATCATACTGGTTGATGATGTTGATGATGACACTGATGATGATGTTGATTATGATGATGATGGTGATGATGATGGTGATGATGGAGAGATAAGGAAGCTGGGGATAATGACTGTGACGATGTTGCTGCTGCTGCTGATGATGATGATGCTGATGCTGATGATGCTGATGATGATGCTGATGCTGATATTGCTGATCATGCTGATGATGAGGATGATGATGAAGATGATGATGAGGCTGTTATTGATGATGATGCTGATGCTGCTGCTGATGCTGCTGATCATGATTATGAAAGGGAGGACGACGATGATGAAGACGATGATGATGCTGATGATGCTGCTGATCATGATACTGATGATTATGATGATATGATGATGATGATGATGATGATGATGATGATGATGATGATGATGATGATGATGATGATGATGATGATGATGATGACGAAGAAGAAGATGATGATGATGATGATGATGATGATGATCGTGATTCTGATGCTGATGAGGCGGGGAAAGAGGCTCAGCAGCGGAAGGAGGAGGATGATGCTTGAGGATGAGGTGCAGGAGGCTCACTCATGATGAGTATGAGGCTAAGGGTGAAGATGAGGTGGACGAGGAGGAGGAGGAGGAGGAGGAGGAGGAGGAGGAGGAGGAGGAGGAGGAGGAGGAGGAGGGGGGGGTGGGGAAGACGAGGAGATTGAGGGGTGACGACGAGGACGACGGCGACGACGACGACGACGACGACGATGATGATGATGATGATGATGATGCTGCTGCTGCTGCTGCTTATGATGATCATACTGGGTGATGATGTTGATGATGACACTGATGATGATGTTGATTATGATGATGATGGTGATGATGATGGTGATGATGGAGAGATAAGGAAGCTGGGGATAATGACTGTGACGATGTTGCTGCTGCTGATGATGATGATGATGCTGATGCTGATGATGCTGATGATGATGCTGATGCTGATATTGCTGATCATGCTGATGATGAGGATGATGATGAAGATGATGATGAGGCTGTTATTGATGATGATGCTGATGCTGCTGCTGATGCTGCTGATCATGATTATGAGGAGGAGGACGACGATGATGAAGACGATGATGATGCTGATGATGCTGCTGTTCATGATACTGATGATTATGGTGATGATGATGATGATGATCATGATATGATGATGCTGATGATGATGATGATGACTACGAAGAAGAATAATATGATGATGATGATGATGATGATGATGATGATGATGATGATGATGATGATGATGATGATGATGATGATGATGATGATGATGATGATGATGATGATCGTGATTCTGATGCTGATGAGGCGGGGACAGAGGCTCAGCAGCGGAAGGAGGAGGATGATGCTTGAGGATGAGGTGCAGGAGGCTCACTCATGATGAGTATGATGCTGAGGGTGAAGATGAGGTGGACGAGGAGGAGGAGGAAGAGGAGGAGGAGGAGGAGGAGGAGGAGGAGGAGGAGGAGGAGGAGGGGGGGGTGGGGCAGACGAGGAGATTGAGGGGTGACGACGAGGACGACGGACGATGATGATGATGATGATGATGATGATGATGATGATGATGATGATGATGATGATGCTGATGCTGCTGCTGCTGCTGCTGCTTATGATGATCATACTGGTTGATGATGTTGATGATGACACTGATGATGATGCTGATGATGATGATGATGATGACGAAGAAGAAGAGGAATAAGAAGATGATGATGATGATGATGATGATGATGATGATGATGATGATGATGATGATGATGATGATGATGATGATGATGATGATGCTGATCGTGATTCTGATGCTGATGAGGCGGGGAACGAGGCTCAGCAGCGGAAGGAGGAGGATGATGCTTGAGGATGAGGTGCAGGAGGCTCACTCATGATGAGTATGAGGCTGAGGGTGAAGATGAGGTGGACGAGGAGGAGGAGGAGGAGGAGGAGGAGGAGGAGGAGGGGGGGGTGGGGAAGACGAGGAGATTGAGGGGTGACGACGAGGACGACGGCGACGACGACGACGACGACGACGATGATGATGATGATGATGCTGCTGCTGCTGAGGCTGCTGCTGCTGCTTATGATGATCATGCTGGTTGATGATTTTGATGATGACACTGATGATGATGTTGATTATGATGATGATGGTGATGATGATGGTGATGATGGGGAGATAAGGAAGCTGGGGATACTGACTGTGACGATGTTGCTGCTGCTGATGATGATGATGCTGA